ACCATATAGTCAAAGGTGACCAGTGTTGAAAAATATCTCAAAAAACTTGACAGAGACCACTTATAGAGTGGAAGTTGAGGTGATAAACCCGTTACAATATTTAGTGTCAGTCATGTACACGTGCATCCATTCTATCAAAACTTTGACGAGATTTGTGTCACCAATGTCAATATGGGCGGGACAGTTTACCCTAACCGACCAAATTTCTCCAAATGTCACGGATAATTTATGGACAAAAGGAGGGAGTAAATTGCTGTCTGTTTTCATAGTGTCACTGCGTTTTGTGATAAGTTGACATAAGATGTAAACAACACGGAGGGAAACGATACAATAATGCACAGTTTGTGAAATATACTAACACACTTACTATAGAGTATCAGCCAATGAGATGGGGCGATGAGTTACACATGTAAACGAATTTAAATGAGAAATGGCAAATCAAAGTACTCCCGTTTATAAAATTACCAACTGTATGCAATAAATAACACTAAATGTTTTGACAGTTTGGTGCTAATCAATAGCAAGTAAAGGATCAATAACTTCTTTGAGTAGATCTTCGTCATAGCTTCCTTGTTAGTTATGTCAAGTTTGCGATACTTACGTTACGTAGGCTTTCCGTTGATCGGTAGGAATTGGCTATCATATATTGGGAAAGAACTAATGAGAACAGAAAGATAACTCCTGGTAACTGGTACATCTGGCGTTTTGTTAATTCGTGCGCACGGTTTGGTAACTCGTGCGCACGGTTTCGTAATCCGTGCACACGATTTGTTAATTCGTGCGCGCGGTTTGGTAATCCGTGCGCACGGTTTTTCAATTCGTGCGCACGGTTTGTTAATTCGTGCGCACGGTTTGTTAATCCGTGCGCACGGTTTGTCAATTCGTGCGCACGGTTTGTTAATTCGTGCCCACGGTTAGTAAATGTTTTACCATGTCCCTTCGGGGGCTCCGTATAATCATGTTGTAACCGATTCGCTACTCAGAACTTGGTACATGTGTCGATAACGAGGCCCCACTTACCTTCTGTAACACGCAGATGTATCCAATTACTTCCTCCTGTTGATCTTCCTTTTCTACATTTACAGTAATAATACCCAGTGTCACTTGTTGTTGTACCGTGTATGGTCAGTGATGGATCTGCTATCGAGGATCCTGAATACTTCTTAGTGTCTCTATCAGAGCTGCTGTACACGATTCTTCCATCCTTTATCCAAAACACAGAATCGAGTGGACCAGGATACGAGGAGATCGAGCAATCCAGTGTGACGTCATCTCCGGCCTGAACGTTATATCTTGTTTTACTCACAGTCACATCAATGCCT